GTTGATTCCAAAGGTGATATCTGCCCACCAATATTCATAACCTTGAACGAACATGAAATGTATACAATTTTTAACGAGACATATTTATTACACCGCCGTCGAATTTCGGCCTCCTTTGATCATTCAATTAGAATGAGAAGAAGATACATCCAGTGGATTAATTAGTCGATAAAATATATATGAACCCTCAAAGCAACGTTTTATATCCATCCAACATTTACATCATGCGGCGACGGCACAATCTCGGTTCAGATCAGAATCCTCAACCAACGATTTTCATAATACTCTACCTCCCTCATCTCTCCCCCCGAACTTCACACGTATTCCGATTTCTTCGATATTTCTTACCACTTTATCATTTTATCTCCCATCACGCAAAACGAAAGCATTTTCAAATGATTAACGAGGATCGTAGCGACAGTTGCTGAGCGAGGCGTTAAAGAAAGATAACGGTTTGACAGGCCGTTGGGTCACCACGTCCGGAACTCGTTTCGACTAATCACCACCTCATACCATCTCCCTCCACTATTTCTCTTCCAATATTTTTTTTTCTCTGTCATTATAAAACCGCGTTACGAAAGAGCCTCTATGCTCATCATTATTGATCATATATATAATCCTCTTCGCTGTTTAACGTTTATACGGTAGATTATTCCCCCATATTAAACCAATAATATATATATATATATATATATATATATGTATCTGCTTGAGTGCAATATAGAACAAGGCTCTATTTATTAGTATTAATATTAATATCCTTCACATTCATACAACATCCATTACATCAATTATCGCTCAATGGTCTTCAACATCGGGATATTAAAACAATTGCCCCGAACAATTAGTGCAATACAAATCAAACATTGACCTATTAAACAAACAAATAGAATGGAATCGAACGATTAACACACGACTTGAATGGATCTTTTGCTACAATTATAACGCGATTATATTAACCGCTCCCAACGTCCGGAAGCTACAGAAACATGATAAATAAAAAACCGTCAGATGAGCAACCGTTTTTTAAATTTTTATTGAAACCTTATATATTTATCTCATTTATTATAATGAATGATTATAATATCGCGAGCATGGAATTCTTTCACGCTTATTTTTCACTGTACGCAAATTACCCAGCATGTTTTTCACATGCACAAATTAATCCATTTCTGGTGGTTGGTAACCATTCAATTTTCATCACATGTCCATTTGGTATCTTCGTTGTGCACATGCATAGACACCTAGAGGTCCCATCGGCGATGTCCAACAAGATGATGTCTTGATAGGGGTAGCCTCATCGTTAATCGTGCTTTTAATCCTCCATAGCATGTAAGCCACTGCACACTGTCTATACCTTTATTTTTTTATCCCCACCTTTATCACCTCTCGTATGAGTTTCTAATGGCTGTAATGCCCGGTGTATGTGTATAGTTGATACTCACGCGAGCCACCAGAAGAGATAATCGCAACAGTACTCTGTTGCTGTATAACGATTATCTCCATAACCGTTGCCCACCCGGTTTGTTTTCTATTGGTGCCTCCAAGGTGTATATTATATATTACGTCCGGTTTAGGATATCGTTTCAACGAGGAAGCTATTCCCTTACCTCTACTCATCCCGAAAGTTAATGCGATAGAGCACAAAAACGAATTCTATAACCACTACTTTAATACTTAATCACTATACTCTAATACTGCAGATGTTGTTAGGAGATGTGAAATTAAATTTTATTGGTGATGTTTTATCTAATGGTGATCGTCTAACAAGGCTACGCCTGATGTAGAACAAATTAGGGAAATTCGAGGAGCTCGAGGAATAAATAATGGAGTTATGAGATATCAACTCATTTCTTTTTTTTTCACCGCAGAGGAGTCTAAATTTCATTACGTTTCGCTACTCGGAGTAACAGGTGGTGAATGATAGTTATTCGTAATGATCCATTGATTTATGTCAATTATCAAGACAGGATCAATCAGGGAAAATTATACACTTTTCTTCATGATTATACAGCAAGTCTAATAATGTCAGGGAGCTGGAAAAATAAACAATCAATGCTCCTTGTTTTTTATTTTATTATCATTGATACTTTTCCGCGAAGAAAATTTTTTGGTCATATGATAAGAGTGATGATGAGATGTGATTGAGTGATGATTATCGCAAGTACTCCACTGCGCTCTCAACATAATTGAGATTATTCTCCAGTAAATTTTCAGACAAGCCCTCTGTCTGAGTGAGTTGATGTGAGTAAGAATAATAGATCTTCTTTTTTTCTTAATTACTTTCTCGAATAGTTCTACACGATCGTACTTGTTCAAGAGTAGCATTGGGGTAAAATGTCTGTCAATGTTCGCGGTATCCTCTCCTTGTTTAGCGGCACGCGATTTCATGTAATAAAGCAAATACCTCCTTCACGTATGCCCACGCAAGCCTCATACTTCATACATACTTCTCATGTGGAGTTACCGAAATATGCTGAATACCTGAGATACGTCAACAACACTTGGTCACGAGTCTCAATGGATGTGGAAAAAAACGTTTTTTATTCCATAAAATGAGTGCGCACAGTGTTTTAGGGATTACCTGTCGCAGTTATAACTGGAAAAGGGAAAACGATCTGCTTAGCTTCGGGAAAAATTAATATTAATGATGGTGAACCAGGTAGAGAGGTTAAAAATGGGGATAATGGGTTGATCCCACGTTAAGTGGGACTTGAGAACGTCGAAAATCCCCAAAAGTCAAATCTCCCGATCTCATCTGTCCCACCCCCTAAGTTCGGGAAAAACCGAAAAGGTCAAGTGTTTTTGGTGACTTTTTGAGGAGTTGAAGGACAAAAGAAAAACAACCACTAATGGTTAACTCTAAACGGTTATTGAAAATGAAAGGTTACGGGGATAGTTGAGTCTGGTATTTCCCACAAGAATGAAATTCAAGAGTGAAAATACATGGGGAAAAAAAGAGAGAGAGAGAGGGAGAATGGATGTATGTGTATGTGCGTGCTGATTCCTGAGGAGGATGTGGGAAGTGGCGCCTGTATAGGGATGGGTATACCTGAAAGTCTTACAAGAAGCCGCTAAGCCACAGAGGAGAGGTGAACGTTTTAAACGGAAGCAGCTGTTGTTCCACCTTCGTGTGTCTCATCCTTCATTATGCTCCTGTCGATGCACTCGCTGCGGGGATCTTGAGTATGTTCAACTTTGCCTTATGGAAGGCGTCGGCGTTTTTCTTTATTAAAACTTCCTCAAAGGGAATATTTGTCCTCGAGGCACTCACCATCACTCGTGTTTGGTGTCTCTCAAGTGCTTCTTTCGGACCGTGAACATTCACTAATAGAAAGACCACGAGCACCAAAAAAGCATGATGAGAAAGAAGCCGGAAGAACAATTGTTTACACTGGAGCCTGTTTATCTTTACTCTTGACTCTGACACAGAATTTGTGGCAATTGGAGCGATCGTGTCTCAAGCATTCGTTATGTACGTTAAATAAAAATAAGAGGGAGAATCAATGATCCTTAGTGATCCTTACATGAACCTTCTCTGTGTGGTTAATCAGTTAAGAGTTGATGCCACTTTACTTAAAGAATTGGAGATGAAGTAAAGATGTGAGAGTTCCCCCAAATGGCGTAAATAGAATCAAGCCCAAAATGCCTTGGGGAATTCCCTGGCAATCACGTAAAAAGAACGGGAAGGATAAGCATCGGTCCGAGATAAATAGGATACGCAAGAGTGCCGGGCTTAATGCGGATCCCTGGAACGAGACAGACCAAGCAAGAACAAGCGTCTTGGCAGGAGCCAGGTGAAGAAGATGCGTCTCTATTAGCTGAGACCTTTTATAGTGAAAGGGTTTTCGGCACATTTTCTGGCCTCGTGAGCAAACTGGATGTCATCAGGAGTGAGTGTGTGAGTGTGTGAGTGTATTGCAAGCCCTTTTTGAAGGTAAAGCCTCTCCACCCTCTCCCTTATAATGCGTAATATATTTTTTACCATCGTGTTATGTAGGTGAAGCATGTTGTCCTAGCCGCAGTACCGCTCCCTGAGTAAACGACCAAACGAGGTGAAACGAGGGATGAGGAGAGGGAACGAAGAAAAGGAGTTGAGGTTAGAGCAGAAAGGGGGATGTGTGTACCTTCTCCTCCTACCCCTTCCTTACTTTTTCTCCTTTCCGTCATCCCGCGGGGGATGGGGGTTTTGAGCGGGGGAAAAAAAAAAACAAAACATACACACAGAAAGAGCATGGCGACAACAACGAAAGGATGAAGGAAAAAAGCAAGACGAGGATGAGAACGATGAGAGAAAGAAAGGAAAAAAGGAGAGTAGAGTAGAAGAAAAAAAAAAAACAAACAGGAGGAACAGAAAGAGTGGCCTGACAAAGGTCGGCTGCCACGCACACTGTTCAGCAGCCCCGCCAGGCATTGACATCGAGGTTGGGTAAAAGGAGGACTAGATTTCACGAGCCAGCGATGCAGGATGCTTCAAAGGGCGCCGACGCGGCCGCAAAAGGGGGAATAGCCTGGCTTAGGGAGGAAGGGAGAAAGGGAGGTGTGGGTGGTGGATATTTGGCCGATGGATAGTGGGTTGCTCTCGTACTGGCCAAATTCAACCCCGTCTCAGCACAACGACCAAAAAGTCAGACCAGAGACAAAAAATACCAGGGATTTAACTGGGCTCATTTGAGCGACAAACGCCACTCAGTCCCATTCGCTGAATCAACAAATTTCCCAAAAATAATCGGCATTCCATCCCCATATATTTTCCTAAAAATTCAATATATGTGACGCAATCTCAATCTCAATCCAGAACAGTAAATTTTTAGAATTGCCGTTTTCATAATTGGGGTGTTTGTTGGAATAATTTTAATTTCGGATATCGTTGAAGAATATGTGTGCTTGTTCGTGGATCAATGAAATTTTTAAATAATTTATGTTGTTATGTTTTGTTAGATTGTTAAAAGTAAACTTAATGTCTAGAAGTAAGTGATTGTTTGGTTGGCGTTACGTACAGTACTTACATAGCCGTGCTTGTCGCTCATGTTGTTGGTGAGTTTAAGCTTGTGAAAGCTGACTACTTTCTGCATCCACTGTTCACCGCTGCTCGGTGAGTCCGGGTGTATGTACATTCTCTTGGGCATTTCGGGATCAGCTTTGCCAGCTACCATCCATCTACTACTCATCGAATAAAAATTCCATTAATTAGACATACGCTTAATATTTTTATTTATTTATTTTTTTCTAGTTGACTTCGAATTTTTTGAGGGAGAAAAAAAATGTCATCAGATGATAAATTTCATGGATCTATTATTTATTTAGAACATGCTCTCGGTGGAAGTGAAAAATAAACATTCGATGATGATGATGATAATGATATTAATAGTTATGCGTATCGAATGTTTTAAATGCGGCAATATCTCAGCAATAATGATTGATGTCTTAGGACTGATGTAATTTTTTTCCTCTCGGTTAAATTCCCCTCTCGAAGTCAACGTGAACAAGCCTATAGATTTTCTTTCGATGGAGATCGAAATAAAAAATGGTAATAATTGATTAATGATAGTTACTACTGCAGGACTATCATTATGATGGAATTAATCGAAAGTAAATGTCTTCATTTGACAAATAGCTTGAATAAAAATGTTAATGATATTGTTTAAATCTCCATGAAAGAGTTAGCCAAAGCTTTTTGCGATCCCCATACCAGTCGAAATGGTTAATTACAGTAAAATGATAAAAGATCATTGACATTATCTCAATTGCATACACGAAAAATGAAAACTACGATTAGCCTTGAACCCACGAGAAACCTTTTTCTATCAAACAAGTCATCCATTCGTTCTCCATTATAATTTAAATATTAAATTTCAATTGTTATTGGTTTTTTTTTTTTCGACGAGTATGAGGAATTGTTCGCAGCGCACGTTCCGCTAATGACGCGAGAGAGCATTCACGTAATGAATTGAAAATATAATATCCAAATAAACAAAAATGCTCTCTAATGGGAAAATGATTAAATTCATTCAGGATAATCACCTGTTGTGAAACTTATATCGGTACTCATCGGTTGCCGCGATGTCCATCAGAAGTATGTAGCTAGCCTTTTTGTCTAACCCAGACACCCTCACTTTATAAGCGGGAAACATGCGTCTGCGAACAATTTGCAATTGCAAAAAGGGCAAAACATTGCCGATTAGTTGATTTCTTTCGTCCACCGAATATTGTCTAATCTAATCTAACATTTTTCATCGATATTTCGATTGATTAACGAAAAAGGCTGGTGGACGAATCCTGGTCAACTTCAGTCAGTGGCAATGTTATGGTATTTTTTTGCCTTTACACGATTTTATAATGTTTTTTTTTTCTATCGTCGACTCTGATCTACCTGTTGTGAAATTTATATCTGTAGTCATCGGCAGCGACGATGTCCAGGAGAAGTATGTACTTGGCCTTGGCGTCCAAGCCGGACACTCGGAACTTCATCTGAGGAAACATCTGCCTAGATTCCCGGATCAACATTTACACACGAATTAGAAATATTTCCTTAATTGTTAAGACATGCTAATGTTTTCATTAATGAGAGATCGGAAAAGGCGTGTCGAGTATCTACTCGATCAGCCACATAATCGTATCAACACATGGTTATACATATATATATGCACTACATTGACCATGCATGCGATTTAATCGCATTCTGCGATCTAGTCGCAGAAATTCAGCGAAAAATTCAAATTAATCGAGTTATCAATTTTTTAAATTCCTAAATGTTGTCTCTTTACTTTTTTTTACTGATTTAATTCTCATATGTGATGGTACGTGCTATACGCTATATACTGACCAATCCGACGGCAGCCATCTTGGCGTGCCCCTCCCCGTGGAAAAAAAATCACGGGACATGAAAATATCCAAGCATAACGGAAATGAAAAGCGATGAAAGACAGTTGATGTTGAAAGAAAAATGAAACGAGTAACGAGATGATAAAATTGCCAAGGCGACGACTTCCATTGGTGAGGTGGAGTTGCTGGTTTGACGTTGATTCTCCAGCGCACTGGACCACCCTCTACGTCCAACAAATCAATGGAGCGCGTTTCACCAAGGCACACTAAGACCGCCGGCGATCGTTTCGCTTCTCCTTGGGGTTACTCCCTATTCCCCGCTGCCCTTTTCCCTCTTTAACTTGGAGATAAGTCCCGTAGTATTTTAAAACACGAGAAACTACTGTCCCGCTTTCATTCTCTATACCCCACACAAATCCCTCTTTCTACCAATTTTCTTCAGTTTTGCACTCCATTGCACTCTCTTTTTTTTTCATCCTAAAAAATATGTCTTCTCGTTATTCTTCTAGATCAACATTATTTTTTTGTCATTTAAAATACAGAGGACTCGTCGACCAGTGTCGGAATGACACTGAAATTTCACGGTTTATTGTTTATTTTTAGAAAAAAGTGGAACGGAATTTTGCAGATTTGTTTGATAGCTTCAGCCAATAGGCGAACTGCATGACAATGGCGGGCTTTTTCACGGAATTTTTTTTCTTTTCTCTGTTTCTAATGTAATTGTTGAGATAGTGAATGAAACGGAATTCTTGAAGATATTGTACGATGAAATCGAAATATTTTGTATCGAATTTGTTTGGGTGTGTAGGTATGAGATTAAATCAAGTTTCATAGCGATAGAAATGAATCAGTACTTTAAACGCTTTGAACCGCGAAATAATCGCGTGAAACCGAGACCTCTCAGTGTCACAATTGTGTCGTGAAAAATCTCCTCAATAGGGATTTCTCGAGCATCTGCCCACTGTTGGTGGAGTTTTAGCATGTTGAAAATGTCCGCGGGTGTCCAATAAGAACGAGGTGAGGCGGCAACGAGTGAGTGTTGAAAAAACTCAGTTTAAAAAAAAGGGGGAGCGCGAGAAAAATCGCATCGTCAGCCAAGTTCTCATTCATGACCCAGGGGACACTCAAGAGGATTCTAAGCCGGATTATCCGTAGTAAGCAAAAACATACCGTCAGGACTTCTAGCTCACAGACAAACCACATGAGTTTTCTTGTCACCCTCGTTCATGTTTCTATTTTCTATTTTCTATTTTTCCCAATTTTTCATTTTTTTTTGAAATTTAATCATCACGATAAATTTTTATTAAATTCATTTTTTAATTTCTCTGTTATTCTCTTTTTCTATTTTGTTCATATGTATATATGATAGAAACTACTATATACTTGAAATTGAATTTTGAAAAAAAATATCACTCGAAAAAATAATAAGTGAAACAAAGTTGATATGGAGTGCGATAGGGTAAACAGTGCAATTGTAAAACATCCCACGAAGAGAAAAAGTTCAACAAAAATTACAGGAAAGTTCCGCAAGTCAGGATAAGGGTCCGGGAAAAATTACGGGTCGTGCACTAAAGAACGTGTGGAACGTTCTGTAAAAAAAAACAGCAGTTACGTAATTTTTACTGATAACCATTTTTCAGACTTGGAGATGGTGCTGTTTTCCAGTGTCTTTACGAACTGGAGGAAAAGTTATTTTTCCATGATTGCGTGAAACTGTGAATACCCTTAACTGTTCTGTAAATGGATACGGAGAAAAAATATCCTTGACTGGAGTATATTTTATATTTGACTGAAGAGCATACATTATCCTTGAAATGAGGGACGAGAGGTGTGGAACAGAGCATGTCGGCAAACTAGATCATTCAAAAAAATATTTTTTCAAGCGGTTCATTTCAAACAAATTTGTTAACGCAAACTTCAAAATTTTCTGCTTTCCAACACTCTTTCTACTTTCTCTCTGCATTCCTAAATGAATCGAAAAAATGAAAGCAAACAAATAAAGAGATGTCATAAAAAAGAAAAATTTCATCCGTTTTCAAATTCGTCTTACTCATACAGTCTTTATTACGCCCTCATTACTCCCTTATTAAATAAAAAAAAATGAACATTCTACTTGAAATATATACAGCACCATTCTTATTTCAATTATAACGTCTCCAACTATAAAATATCCTAGCAGTCTCGTGTATACTTATTACCCGCGGATTGTTCACCGTATAGCCACTAAGAAATAAAATCGTTCATTAGTTTAGAAGGTTGTAACGAAAATTGGAAGGATGGTTTTGTAAATTTTCCTAATTATAAAATCATAAATAGTTGTGAGAGGTGAGTTACACTCTGATTCTGATGGTTTGTTTTACGAGGGACGTGGTATTATAATATACGTGAGGCGCCAGTGAGACGGTTCTGTGTGATGCTCCAGCTGGGATAACGCTCGTCGGAGGAGCATACCGGGCGTTCCGTTCACACAGATCAGAATCGGCGGTGATGGTTTCAAGAATTTTTTTTCTCCAAACTCTTTTAATGGACCACCATAACTGAGATTCTGTCCAATCGATTCCCCATGGAATTCTCATTTAATGATTTTTTGATATTCCTCATGAAAATCATCGAATCGCTACGAGAATTATTTATTCATCTTCCATGTGTGGCCGAAAAGGACCCACTTATCGAAAAGGGCCTACTATGGCTTCTACTGCAGTCATTGAATTTATTATTTGATACAATATTTTTTTTTCTCCAAACTTTTTTAATGGACCACCATAATTGAGATTTAGTCCAATCGATTCCCCATGGAATTCTCATTTAATGATTTTTTGATATTCCTCATGAAAATCATCGAATCGATATGAGAATTATTTATTCATCTTTCATGTGTAGCCCAAGGACCCACTTATCGAAAAGGGCCTACTATAGCCTCTAATGCAGTTATTAAATTTATTATTTGATACAATATTCCTCGGAATGGCTTTGAACGTTCAGTTTATCGTCAATGGTTTTATGTCTGCTTTCGACAAACTGGTCCTTCATGGTAGTTATGGCTAGTGATAGTAAACTATCGACAAATCGCCCGATTCACAGTATTTCAGACAATTTTTATATCGATTATATGAAAATTGGGAATGACTGCGTTTTTATTTGATGGTGAAGTATGATAGAGAAAGACTTTATAGTAATATTTGATCAGCGAATATTATTTGTAATTAATTAACTTTATTTTGCCGATTCTCTATGATTTATCTGAAACACTAGGCGTTTGAATGACAGGAAGATTTTTCAGTTGAATAACGTAATCGTACTATTGGAAATTTCTTGAAATTTTTGTCCTAGGCATCTGAATTTTGAATTAAGTGAGTTTAAATTAAATTTCAATAGAAATTAATAAACATTGAGTTTTTCATGTTTCATTGTTAAACAATCTGATATTTTATCGGGATTTACAATAGAAGGTATTACAACTCGAAATATTCACTCTAGATCAATATCCCATGGTAAATTATTCACGACGCCAAATGTTTGTAAAAAAAAAAGAACGAATGAATGAAATGTTGTGTTGACAGGGATCATAAGGTAGGAAGCTCGATTTTACGGTGAAGAACCTTACTCGGTTTACCCTCTACCATGTGAATTCTAGGATGGGTATCGGAGATGAGCTGTTTCATCCCGAGGGTTATAAGAGATTAAATTCATGAAACCAACGGCTAATTGGGTGTTATGGCTCTATCGAGGTTAACAACGATTCTTGTGAGGGCCACAGATTTTTAGCAGGGTCTTTGAATTATAGGAGATTGAGCAGCTAAAGTGAGAAATTAACTCGAAGGCTCCAAACTTGTGAAATCTCTCAATTTTTTTCCCAGCAATTGGACAGTGACGGATTATAACAAAGAGATGGGTCCATTGAAAAAAAAAAACAAATTAGCATTCGATAATGATATGGGGACAGCTTTTAAGTGCGATTGTTAGGAATGAATTAATATTTCATCGCGAGGAGAGTTCACACGCTGTTCGATTGGAGGATATGTACCATGAGGAAATACAAAAATGAATAAATTTGAATGCTCAATAAGCCAACAATGTTGCTTGAACCAAACTTTATATCGCGCTACAATAAACAACGGTTTGTAAGTAAACGTCCCCATCAGAGATCACAATCATTTTCAGTGCTGTCGTGCAAAAGTACACCGATAAATCGATGGGGGAATTGTTATTTACGACGCGTCATTAGGCCACTACAGGCAAAACAAGAAGGCTAAAGCCGAGAAAAACCTCGAGTGAGAGATAGAAACGTGCCTTTGCAGAATAAAGAATCTCAACGCGAAACCCGGTAGCATCAAAAGACTTAATTTATTTTATCGCTCCGAACATTTCACAGATTCATTTTATCCCCGTAGCCTCATTTATCGTATAGTGAATTGAATATTGCAACAAGTACTATATAGTATGTCCATGAGAATCTTCAATGTTAAGATAAACTATTGAGTGTATGTCGATAATGTGAAATTTTCCACTCGTAAGAAATATTTCCTATTTAAATATTTATTATTTCATTTGCATGTGGAAGAAACATTTATGATGCGACAGAGTTAACAATTGCATGAAAAATGGAAGAAAATATATTCATGAAATGAGGGAGTAAGGAGAAGAATGAGGATAAAAAATATA